ACAGAAGGTTTGTTCCTAATTATTCGGACCTTGCTAGCCCGCTGACTGATCTAACTAAAAAGGAAGCGCCAGATACCGTCCAGTGGACGGAACAGTGCCAGCAGGCTTTCACCCAGATAAAGGCTGCCCTGTGTGGCGGCCCGCTGTTACAGGCTCCTAACTTTGCTCTCCCTTTTTTACTACAGACTGACGCGTCGGACAGGGGGTTGGGCGCTGTCTTGACCCAGGAGATGGAGGGTGAGGAACGGCCGGTGCTGTACATTAGTCGGAAGCTCTCAAAGAGAGAGACTATGTACAGCACCATTGAGAAAGAAGCCCTGGCCATCAAATGGGCTGTCCTCACTCTCCGCTATTATCTCCTGGGGCGAGAGTTCACCCTCTGTTCGGACCACGCTCCCCTGCAGTGGCTCCACCGCATGAAAGATACCAACGCGCGGATCACCCGTTGGTATCTAGCTTTACAGCCCTTCAAGTTCAAGGTGATCCACAGGCCGGGTGCACAGATGGCTGTGGCCGACTTCCTCTCCCGGAGGGGGAGGGGGGGGGGGGGAGGCTGCAGGCCGGACGGCTCCCCGGCCTGAGACGGGCGGTGGGGGTATGTGGCGAGGGGGGCGTGGTTCAGCGAAGTCTGTAGCAGGAGAGCGAGGGCGGAACCGAGCGGTGAGTAAGTGGGTCAAGTGCAAATGACAAACACCACGTTTGTGTCTGCAGATCGGGAAGCTGCCGTTTGTGTCTGCAGATCGGGAAGCTGTGAACAGCGGAAAGAGTGTTGCTTCATCGGCATCCTGAGAAGCTGTAGCCAGCGGGAAGAGTTTTTGTTTTACATGTGAATTGAGTTCACAATTCTGAGTTAGTTGTGAGAGCGCCAGAGAGCGCAGTGGAAAGAGCATTACTAATAAAGTGCACGAGCTTCACTCTTTGCTGAACCTGAGTCTTCTTCCATCACCCACACACGAATCCTGAGTATTATCACATCTATAATCAGTGTTGGGCAGTAACGCGTTACTAGTAATGCGTTACTGTAACGCAGTTACTTTTGACAGTAACTAATACTGTAACGCATTACTTTTTAAATAAATTAACTCCGTTACCGTTACCATATGGCGCGTTGTCCGTTACTTTTTTAAATTAATAAGTTGCTGGAGCGGCTGAGAAGTGTGCGCTGTCATTACACAGTACAAGAGCACTGAAGAGACTGCTAGCATTGTACAGAGCGAGAGGACACCTGAGGACACATAACAAACTCACTGGCTGAGTTGTTTACGTAGGCAGACTGATCTCATGAAATGGCGTATGTATGACACGCCAATTCGTATTTCCATTTTTGGCGTGCTATCAACACGCATAATCGCTTTTCAGCGTTATTATCAACGCCTTTGACTTAACGTTATATTACTGTATTATGTATAAATAAATATATGACCTACCCCAACCCCGTCCCTAAACCTACCCGTCACTGGGGTTAATACCATTTATGAGTCTTCTCCTACCATCCTAGGAAAAGAAATATCGCTCCACAGATGTAGATATAGATTTTGCTTCGTTTCGCTCGGACATTTAACGGCGTACACATACACGCGGAATCACTCGGACATTTAATGGCGTAGACATACACGCAAAAGATTTCGGCGTGGACATACACGCGGATAGCTCAAAATGCGTATAGATATACGCCACTTGAATTGAAAGTGGCGTACAAGCTGCACGGAGAGCGCTGAGCACTTGATGCGCATTTAAAACACAAACAGCGAAACGGTATGAATACAGAACACTTAAGTACACATTGCCATATCATTATAAAGTAATTAATTTTTTGACTAGATGCTGCATCAGCAGCAGAGAAAGAACAGAAGCTTGCCGTCGAGTCTGAGAGGAATAACATTAGTAACGGCTAACTTACCTCAAGCGATTAAAGCAATGTGACAAAAACACACGCAGACCTGACCCACATGTTTTATGTCGCAATTGTTACCATCTATTTGCATTAGTTTATATCCAGCTGGTCACTTTTATGCATTCATTAGCCGGCGAAGTTGTATTTTTAAAACTAGTGACGTGATTGATTGCTTACATTGATATGTTCATGCAGCCGACATCAAGTCTAATCAAGTGTTCTAACATTTAAGCAAATAAAGTGAAAGACTGTACATGTAATATAGGTCTACATTTATGTAATTTTAATGCTCTGGCCTTTGCAGATATTTAAATATGGCCATCTTCTTTAAGCTTGAATCATATAAATGGTAACACTTTACAATAAGATTACAATTTTAGCATTAAATATGGTTAATAAATGTTGTAGAAGTATCATTCATTGTTAGATGTATTTGTATCTCCTTAGTTAATGTAGGCCTACTATGAACTAACAAGAATGATCAAAGTACAATTGTATTGCTCAAATATTAATTCTAGTGTTGTCAAAATATTCGGTACTTCGGTACCAAGTCGGTACCCAAAAATTTTTAAACGTCACGGTACCAAGTACCGGTGGTAGCGACTACTACCGAGTACCCGGTCAAACACAGTTCTGGATGCGCATGCATGCACGAAGGGCGTGAAGTTGCGTCCTCATCATGAAAGTGCTGAGACATGGCGACCAGCGGCGCTGCTGATGTGGTGTCTGTGTATATTACACTGCAAAAAGACTATTTAAATATTAACCCTGCATGTTCTGCTTGTCTCTGTGTGAATGAGCGGCGCAGACGCGCGGTTTCATTTAACGTTACCTTTCACAAACACACACACACACTGAAGCACGAGTGACGCTCGCGCTGTTGTCAGTCTCTGCTGCCTCACGATAATGATGACATGATTCATGATTCGATTCATCTCCGAGAGTCACTTCATGAGCATTTTACCGTTTCATTTGAGAAAAACTATCGTCATATCATACACGCACAGAAACTCAAAGGTCTTCACGGCAACCCGTCAAAATAAAAGTTTGTTTTAGAAATTGACAGAAATAATTATATTAGTCTACTGTACAATAGATTACGTCTATTGTATAGATTACGATAACTACGTCTCCATTAATTAAAAATACTACTACTAATAATAATAATGTGTGCATAGAAGGTTGCTTATTTTTCACTTGATTTTTTTTATAAGCAATATTTCTCAATATCATCAATATTTTCGTTTAAACAGCATGTAGCCTTTAATGCTTTCATAAATTTACAGTCATAAATAATAAAGTCATTGAATTGAATTGAATTTTTTTTTCCAAATAGTTAAATAAGTTGGTAAAATAGTTCAAACTGATTTTGCTGTGGTACCGAAATTGGTTCCGAGAACCGTAAAATTGTAATGGTATCGGTACCGACTACTGGAATTTTGGTACCGTGACATCCCTAAATAATTCATGCAGTAAAAACCACAGTGGTAAAAACGTATACTGTCAGCTGCATGAACATATCAATGTTGAGAAAGCAAACAAGTCACTAGCTTTAAAAATGCTTGTTTTGTTATTTATTTCAGAAATCCTGGATAATATTAAGTTTGTGCTGGTCTGACTTAAATAAAATAGTGTTTAAAAATGTCTTTCTGTTTAAGTCAGTTTTGTGTTTGTATAGACCATAACGCATAAAAGGGCATTAATGGGAACATTTAAGAACTTTCTTTAAAAAAGTAACTAAAAAGTTACTTTTAACAGTAACGCATTACTTTTTGGTGTAAGTAATCAACAAAGTAATTGAGTTACTTTTTGAATGAAGTAACTGTAACTAGTTACTATTTCTTAGTAACTAGCACAACACTGTCTATAATCTATTATGTGTATGCTAGGTCAAAGAGATGTGTTTAGTCTAGCTTTGAACTGACAAAGTGTGTCTGCTTCCCGGACAGTGTTAGGAAGACTGTTCCAGAGTTTTGGTGCTAAATAGGAAAAGGATCTACCGACAGCAGTCGATTTAGATATTCTAGGTAGTATATTTTATATAATATAAAATATATTATTGGGTCGGCCGGAATTTTGAGATCGCAATAGACGTGAAGGACTATAACGCTTTAAGAGCTCGCTCAAGTACTGGGAGCTAAACCATTTAGTGCTTTGTAAGTAATCAACAATATTTAAAAAATGCATACGATGTTTAATAGGCAGCCAATGCAGTGTTGACAGAACCGGGCTAATATGGTCATACTTCCTGGTTCTGGTAAGAACTCGAGCCGCTGCGTTTTGAACTAGCTGTAGTTTGTTTATTAAGCGTGCAGGGCAACCACCCAGTAGAGCATTACAATAATCTAGCCTTGAGGTCATGAACCCATGAACTAATTGTTCCACATTTCCCAATAAGAGCATATGGCATATTTTAGATATATTTTTAAGATGGAAAAATGCAGTTTTACAGATACTAGACACGTGGCTTTCAAAAGAAAGGTTGGTATTAAAGTGCTCCTATTATGCTTTCTGGATATATTCCCTTTCATGCAGTGTGTAATAGAGTTGTTTGTGATTGTAAAACCTCTGCAAATATCAAACGAGAGAAAAGAGCTGCGTGTATTATGAGGAAATTAAAAACAGCATTATAGGCGCACTTAAAATATAGTTTGTCCATGATTGAATAAGGATTTAATTTTAAAATTGTAATTTAAAGTGTAAAACAACAATTGCAGTGTTAATGTTCTCTGGTTAAGAAGTTCATCCACACTGATTTAATGATTTAAAATAACACAAACTATATAACTTGCATTATATTAAGTTAACGCTTCTTTTTGTTGTTGGTCATTTAAGTTTGTTTATTTCTTGATTAAGCTTCAGAATAATCGGCCGCTAGTGACGGCTCTTGTCTGGACAGCTTTTTGTTTTTTGAGAAGTAATTTTTCTTTGGCTCTCTTTAGTAGATGCTTTCTTTAATTGTCAGTTGATAACCCTACTCTACAAAGATTTGTAGGATATTACACAGAACAGTTTGTCGTAATATCACTGGATGTAAAACAGCAAAAATATGCAAATCATTGGGCTAATTTCTCTGTTTATTTTAATGTTTTGCATAATGTTTTACCTGAAAGAGAAAGCAGAGGAAGACACATTTGGTCCATCATCTTGCCAGTAGTTTTGCCACTGAAAAAATAAAAATTACAAAAAAATTATTTCACTAAAATACATATCATGCATATAGTTGACAAATTGACTTGATTTTTCTTAGGTTAAATGTATTTGTATGAGGAAAAGTACATAATTTTATGTTTTATGGATGTGTTCTTTGCCGTGTAGTCTAATTATGGAAACATAAGAAAATAATGCAGTAAATGACAACAAGAAGAGGTGATGCTCAGAAAAGAGAGTTGATTAATAACAAAACATCCATAAAATCTGTTGATGGAATTGTCATTACAACATTATTAATCAGTGGAGAAAGTGTGAAGTTACATCTGTAAAAGTACAGCGTAATTACCAGTTCTCTTCTGAATGAAGTCTCGAAGGATGAAGTTCAGCCCACCGGTCCTGTAGTGAGAGCGAGTGATCAGGATGTTTCTCAATCTTGTCCTCTTTAAATGGGTTATCTACATCAAGGAGGGAGTTTAACTCTCAGATATGCAAAGTGTGCATTGAATCATTTGTTAAGGCTCCTCCTACAGGAGTCTTTTGGTAGACCGTCTTAGAAACACTAATTATCACATGAGTCACCGTTATACTTTGAAGCAGATGTTACACATTTAAACTAGTTTAATATACAAGAATACCAGTGCCATCTGTATATTTAAATGTTCCATGATTTAGTTCCTGCAGAGTATCGGTCTCAGATTGATCTCAGATAGGTCTCAGATATATCTCAGATTGGTCTTATATTGATCTCAGATAGGTCTCAGATAGGTCTCAGATATATCTCAGATTGGTCTTATATTGATCTCAGATATATCTCAGATTGGTCTTATATTGATCAGAAATAGGATTGCAATCACTTCAAAAAGGAAAATACAGTAAAATAGTGCAAGTCTGTCATATCGGCTACATAAAATGAGTATGAGAACATTATAATTGTGTGATTGGGACACAGTGAGACTTTTGTTTTTGTAATCAGGCTCTCAAAAATTATTTAAAAATTTTGGATTTAGATTTATCGGCCAATATATCAGATAGGTGTCAGATATATCTCAGATTGGTCTTATATTGATCTCAGATAGGTCTCAGATTGGCCTCAGATAGGTCTCAGATATATCTCAGATTGGTCTTATATTGATCTCAGATAGGTCTCAGATTGGTCTTATATTGATCTCAGATAGGTCTCAGATTGGTCTTATATTGATCTCAGATTGGTCTTATATTGATCTCAGATAGGTCTCAGATATATCTCAGATTGGTCTTATATTGATCTCAAATAGGACTCAGATTGGTCTCAGATTGGTCTCAGATAGGTCTCAGATTGGTCTCAGATTGGTCTCAGATTGATCTTCAGTGGCTCAGATTGGTCTCAGATTGGTCTCAGATAGGTCTCAGATAGGTCTCAGATTGGTCTCAGATAGGTCTCAGATTGGTCTCAGATTGGTCTCAGATTGATCTTCAGTGGCTCAGATTGATCTCAGATTGGTATCAGATAGGTCTCAGATAGGTCTCAGATTGGTCTCAGATAGGTCTTAGATTGATCTCAGATTGGTATCAGATAGGTCTCAGATAGATCTCAGATTGTTCTCAGATAGGTCTCAGATTGGTCTTCAGTGGCAGATCAGACATAAATTTGCATCAAAACATTGAACAGGGGATAGTAGCCATGATTCCATAACTAATATAACAACCTCTTTTCTATAATTTTGACAAATAATTAATATGAAGAGATAAACAGATGAACTTTAATTGTTTTAGGTGGCTTGTGGTGCATGTAATCTATCTTTATTTTTCAGTTTAAATGTTCTTGTGGAGCATGTAAATGAAGGACAAAGTTATTCACAAGTCTATGCAAAACATACAGTGTCGCCTCAGAAAGATAGAAAGTACTTTATTCATCATTTACAGATGTTTCTGAAATCCATCCTCCTTTAAAGCTCCAGTCCGTAACTTTTATAAGTTAAAAATAATCCAAATTAATTATTTAAAAAAAAACACATCTTCAGCCAGTGTTCAAAACTATCTGCTTGCCATAGCTAGATTCAAAACGGTTAGCTTGTAATAATGATTTTAATTCCAGTGGTACTGGTGGGTTTTCGCGGGAAATTCGAGCATGTCTTTGCGTCATTACGTCACACCCGTACACATAAAGAAGGAGTTTCGGCTAGCCGGCTATACTGCCCGTGACGAGATGTAGAGATAGGCTTTTCTCGCTGCACTTTACATGATTAAACTTATGGCGGATCCAGAAAGATCCAGACAACAATCATCAGTGTCAACTGGAGATTAACCAGTTATAAAACCCAAAAGACTTCGTACTTCGGATTTAAGGTGGAAAGAGAAAGAAACCGTCTCATGCAAACACAAGGATACACATCGGTGGGGCTTTTGAAAGGTGTGTGAACTCCCGAAGGGGTTCGAAACGGAAGAAGAGACGGCTTTTTTCTGCTGAACAAGTAAGACATTTCAATAGTTCAATCGTGTAACAGTACGTTTTCTTAATTCACACAGTTATGGAGTTTCCTTTGTTGTGCCTTTCTCGTTTAGCTATTATGGAGAATATGAATTCTGATCTACACAGGTAATCATAAAACACATTAAATAACGTTAGTCACGCAATGCTGATGTTGTTAACATGAACAATTTGAGAACAAAGTAGGCTATGATTTGCACGGTTGCTGTAAATCGCGCTGATTAAATCTAACGATCGCTTGTCATGTCGAATGCTTTTCCCCCCTTTGTTGATCAGAACAAAAATGGATGTTACTTACTTGTTCAGAAGACATTTTCCGGTGAAAATTCTTATGTTGGTCAAGCTTTCAAAAAGTGAATCTGTGATTCTGTATGCCAGTATCCACACAGCGCGGTGACTGACAGCAGCACTCGCCTCAAAACACTGTGTTCATCAGCACTGTTTCATGCCGATTTACAACCCACGTAAAGATGATAATTCCGCGAATCACTGCAGTTACAGATTTCGAACAGAGATGGCGACAAAAAGGGAAAAAGCTACGGACTGCAGCTGTGTACAGTAGTCACAGAGTGTACAAAAAACTACGTCACATGAGACACAGACATATTTTAACAGTATAAATACTGGGAACTATATTCTCTGAAGGCGAAGCACTGCTACTTGGGCGGAGTAATAACCACAGCACCTGAGACGCGCCGTGGTGAGGAGCAGAGAGTTCGTTCAGAGTTTGGGTACGGTACGTCTCAGGTGCTGCGGTTATCACTCCGCCCAAGTAGCAGTGCTTCGCCTTCAGAGAATATAGTTCCCAGTATTTATACTGTTAAAATATGTCTGTCTCATGTGACGTAGTTTTTTGTACACTCTGTGACTATACAAATCCCAATATGTAAATAGGAAAATGTTTGCGCTATTTTGTCACTTATTTGGATTAGTATGCTAGCTGCAACCATTTACATCCAGTCTTTGTGCTAAGCTAGGCTAGCGGTGGGTGCGTCAAACAGACTTATAGTACGCACGGAGATGAAAAAGGTATGTATGGACTTATCTAACTCTGGGGGATAAGGTGAATAGGCTAAATTCCCAAAAAGTCGGAGTGTTCCTTTAAAGTTCTACTTCTCATATTAACTTGCAGTTATTGCATTGTTGTTTTTCACTAGTATGACATTGAGTTCAGAGATGCAAAGCATTAAAGATTTGCTCTTTGTTAGTTTTGAGGTCACCTGTATTTGTGTAAATGCATTATGTGTTTGTGATTAGCAGGGTATTTTTTCAGATCATGCAAAATTGAACGTCTTTCTTGACTCTTCTGCAGTTATTTACCTATGCAAATACAAGTAGGTGCATGCTGGGCGCTTCTCCTTGACATTTGTAATACAGACACAACAAAATAATAGAAAAAGAGATACAGTATGTTATTATTTATTTAATCTGTGTAGGGATGCTCGATATATCGGTCACCATATCGGTATCGGCCGATATATATTCATTTTTAATGTTATCCTTATCGGCCTGATAAGAAAACTTGACGGATATAATAAATGTAATAAATAATGTATTATTTCCTTCAGCTGAGACACTTCAGATGTGACTGTTCAACATGATGGTTTTGAATTGCGTGAAATAGGATTGCAATCACTTCAAAAAGGAAAATACAATAAAGTAGTGCAAGTCTGTCATATCGGCTACATAAAATGAGCATGAGAACATTATAATTGTGTGATTGGGAGTGAGACTTTTGTTTTTGTAATCAGGCTCTCAAAAATTATTAAAAAATTTGGATTTAGATTTATCGGCCAATATATCAGTTATCGGCTTTCAAATATGAGGAACTATTGGTTATCGTATCGGCCAATATTTTCATATCGGTGCATCTCTACTATATTATCAATGTCACATTTATGACAAGCAACATCAAACAGCCTCAGCTAAGCTGTAATAAGTGGATTTAAATTCATTTAAGAGAAACAATTTGTTAAATCTTCATTGTGAAATATAAAGAAAAAGACAAGAGACAACCAATAAAAACAAACTAGAGGTTCTGACTAAATGTTAATTGCTGCAGTCGATTTAAAATGTTTATTTAATTTTAATGAATTATGTGATAAGGTTCAGTTCAGACAGTCAAGTCACATTTATTTATATAGCGCTTTTCACAATACAGATTGCATCAAAGCAGCTTCACAGTGATAACATGAAAGTAGTACAACACAGTTCAATAATATTGTTGAATATTAAATATCCCCAACTAAGCAAGCCAAAAGCAAGGCGACAGTGGCAAGGAACCAAAACTCCATCAGATTGGATGGAGAAAAAAACCTTGGGAGAACCCAGGCTAGTCAGGGGCCAGTTCTCCTCTGGCTAACAATCATAGGGTTTCAAAGAAGCTTTACAGTAAGTGCATATCAGAAAGTACCTGGAAAAAATACATTTAGTTAATCATGTAATATTAAGGGGATAACATATCGCCGGCGTTGAGTCGTCTCTTCGCAGGCGTTGAGTCGTCTCTTCACAGGCGTCGGTCTTCTCATCACAGGCGTTGGGGCATCCGAAATCCCCGTGAGAGGCAGGATACAAAACTGGAGCCTACGAACGCCATTTTTCTCGGGACAAGCGTCCCGAGATAACAGCAGAAAGGCAGATGGGAAATAATTAGCATAGCTGATGTTCATAATGATTTCCATTACACGGGAGTAGGTGTTAGAAAACCATAATCTCACAACTCTCCGCAACCCAAACTCTCCGCAACCCAACCGCAACCATACGGACCGACCCGTTTGTCTATAAGGCTGTCGAGCCCCACTGGTGCGTTAAGCAGTTTCAGTGGCAAACGGTTCCGTATGGCATAGCAGAGGACTAAAAGGTAAGCATTATGTGAATGCTTGATTAAAGAGACACGTCTTTAGTCTAGTTTTAAAGTGTGTCAGCGAGTCAGAGCATCGGACCGTATCGGGAAGGCTATTCCAGAGTTTTGGAGCTAAATGCGAGAATGCCCTCCCTCCTTTCGTGGACTTCGATATCCTAGGAATGACCAGAAGCCTTGAATTTAGTGATCTTAGAGAACGCGGTGGATTGTAGGGCGAAAGAAGGTCCGTTAAGTACATAGGAGCTAAACCATTAAGGGCTTTATAGGTCAGTAGTAGTACTTTGTAATTGATACGGAACTTAATAGGTAACCAGTGCAGAGATGATAGAATCGGTGTTATATGATCATATTTTCTTGATCTAGTAAGAACTCTAGCGGCTGCATTTTGCACTAACTGTAGCTTGTTTATTGAGGATGCAGGACAACCAGCTAATAAAGCATTACAGTAATCTAGTCTCGAGGTCATGAATGCATGAACTAACTTTTCTGCATCAGAAACAGATAGCATGTTACGTAATTTAGCAATGTTTCTAAGGTGGAAAAAGGCTGTTCTTGTAACAGATGAAATATGATTTTCGAAAGACAAGTTGCGGTCTAGTATAACACCCAGGTCTTTTACTGTAGTGGAAAAAGTAACAGGACATCCTTCTATATTAAAGTCGTATTGTAAGAGGTTTTGTGTGTAGTTTTTTGGACCAATAAGTAATACCTCCGTTTTATCTGAATTTAATAGCAGGAAATTACGCGTCATCCAGCATTTTATATCTTTGAGACATTCTGTCAATTTAGATGAGGTAATGTTTTCATCTGGTCGTGATGAAATATATAATTGAGTGTCATCAGCATAGCAGTGGAAATTAATTCCATGTTTTCTTATAATATTACCAAGTGGCAGCATATATATTGAGAATAGCAGAGGGCCTAGCACCGATCCTTGCGGTACTCCGTAGTCTACTGACGTTAACTTTGATTTTCCCCCGTGTAAAGAGACAAAATGATAACGGTCAGATAAGTACGATCTAAACCAGCTTAATGCCTGTCCCTGAACACCAGTGTAGTTTTGTAGTCGATCCAAGAGTATTTTATGATCTATAGTGTCGAACGCGGCGCTAAGATCAAGTAGGACTAGTATTGAGATACAGCCTTGATCCGAAGCTAAGAGTAGATCATTTGTAATTTTAACTAGCGCAGTTTCTGTACTATGATGCGGTCTGAATCCTGACTGGAATTTTTCATAGATATCATTTTCTTGCAAAAAAGAGCACAGTTGAGCGGATACAACTTTTTCTAGTATTTTGGACATAAATGGAAGATTTGAAATGGGTCTGTAATTTGCTAGGTTATTTGGATCTAGTTGCGGTTTCTTAATGAGAGGTTTTATTACTGCCAACTTGAATATTCTTGGAACATGACCTAAGAATAAAGACGAGTTAATAATATTGAGAAGAGGCTCTTCCACTACAGGTAACACTTCTTTCAGTAGTTTAGTGGGTATTGGATCTAATGAGCATGTTGTTGGTTTAGATGCAATAATAAGTTTATTTAGCTCTTCCTGTCCTATCGTTGCAAAGCGGTGTAGTTGTTCTAGAGGGGCCATAATTGAGGTTGAAGCATAAGAGACCATAGAGGATTGTACATTTATAATTGTGTTTCGAATGCTTTCTATTTTCTCATTGAAATAATTCATAAAATCATTACTACTAAACTGTAGCGGTATATTTTGCTCTGGTGATGTCTGTTTATTTGTTAGTCTAGCCACGGTGTTAAATAAGAACCTTGGATTATTTTGGTTATTTTCTATTAGTTTGCGGAGGTGCTCAGCCCTGGCTGTTTTTAGAGCCTTTTTATAACGTGACATACTGTCTTTCCACGCGATTCTAAAGACCTCTAAATTAGTTTGTTTCCATTTACGCTCTAGGTTACGAGTTTCTCTCTTGATATCATGCGTAACACTGTTGTACCAGGGTGGTTTAGTTTTCTCTTTAACCTTTTTTAATCTAATTGGTGCAACAATATCTAATGTACTAGTGAAAATGGTGCTCAAACTGCTAGTCATTTCCTCTAGTTCATCTGTTTGTTTGGGTTCACTGAGCAGCTGAGATAGATCAGGTAAGCTATTTGAGAATCTATCTATAGTGGTTGGAAGGATTGTTCTGCCTGGTCTATAACGTGGCGCAACATGACATATTTCAGCAGTACGTATTATGCACGTTACCATGTAATGATCAGTGACATCATCACTTTGCGGTATAATATCTATATCAGTTGGATTGGTTCCATATGATATAATTAAATCTAGTGTATGATTTAGACGATGAGTGGGACCACGGACGTTTTGCTTGACCCCAAAGGAGTTTAATAAATCTGTAAACGCAGCCCCTAACGCATCATTTTTATTGTCTACGTGTATGTTAAAATCTCCAACAATTATTGCTTTATCGACATTGACCAATAGATCCGAGAGAAAGTCTGCAAACTCTTTTAGAAATTCAGCATATGGCCCTGGAGGTCTATATACAGTAGCCAAGGCTAGAGATAATATGGATTTCTTTCTTACATCTAAGAGCGTAACATTTAGCATAAGTACTTCAAACGAATTAAATCTGTGACCTGTTTTCTGAGAAACATTAAGAATATCTTTATAGATTGTTGCAACACCGCCGCCACGACCAGTCAGACGGGGCTCATGCTTATAACAGTATCTTGGCGGAGTAGACTCATTTAGACCGAAATACTCATTTGGTTTAAGCCAGGTTTCAGTAAGGCAAAGTATATCGAAATTATTATCTGTGACCATTTCATTTACAATAACCGCTTTAGGTGTGAGCGATCTAATGTTTAGAAGACCTAGCTTTAGAAATTCTTTTTGTTCACTGATATTTAGATTTTCTGGTTTAATTACAATAAGATTTTTGCTAGATCCTGCACTAGATTTATTGTTTGGCTTCACTAAACGAGGAATAGACACAGTTTCTATATAATGTTCTTCACTACGTATATCAATTAAGTTTGGACAGCAAAGACTGTGATTTGGATTTTGACTTATTAGTCATCTGGTGCGTAACGTCTTGGAGATATTATCCGACAGAACAGCCGCTCCGGCTCTGCTGGGGTGCAGGCCATCAGCACGGTACAGCCTGGGTCGCTCCCAAAACAGATTCCAATTATTTACAAAGAGCAGTTTCTGTTCATTACACAGTGACATTAACCATTCATTTAGTGCAAATAGTCTACTGAACCTTTCCTGTCCTTGTCGGTACGTGGGAAGCGGTCCAGACACGATGATCGTTGCCTCAGGCGCTGTGTTGCGTACCGCCTCGATCAGGCTCATGTAGTCCTTCTTCAGAACCTCCGTCTGCCGCAGCCTGACGTCGCTCCCTCCCGCATGCAGCACCACAGCTCCGACGCGCTCGTCCCCGGTCAGGATTTCGGGAACCTGTGCAGCGATATCAAGAACACGAGCACCAGGAAAGCAGTGAGAGCGCACCTTACCCTTACCTGAGGTAGCGCGGACATGGCGGACCATGGACGTGCCGATGATCACGGCGTCGTCGCGTTTCGACTCGCGAAGAGACAGGAAGGAAGAAGACAGGGATCGGCTTGAGCTGGGACGTTCACTTTTATTCACGTCTTCAGAAATAAACAAAAAGGTGCGCACAGAGGCACAGCCAAAACACATTAACTCAGAATTCGTTGCAATCTCTTTCCACAGCAGCACACGCGAGGTCCCAGCTTGTTTCTCTCTCTCCTCTCGCTCTCACACGCCGGCTTATATCCGGTCTCTCCACACCAATTACTGAAATCAGACACAGGTGTTCATCATCTGCACTTGACCTACTTACGCTCCGCTCTGCTCCGTCCTCTCTCTCCCGCTTCAGACTCCGCAAAACCACGCCCCCCTCTATGGAAGTAAAATAATGTCAAATGTTTTTGAAACAAGAAGCATGTTGAATTGCACCAATTGAAAAAAAATATGCATTGCGTTAACCATGCTTGCATTTTTATGGGCTGAAATTCAACATGGTTGAATATTTAAGCTGTGAATATTTTAATTAAAAACATTTCAAACACATTTTCATTATTAAAAATTCAATAATCCATATTCACCTTTCATATTTCACTTCCAAAAGTTTCAAACTATTTAAAAATACAACCTATAATATTCAACAGGCAATTTTCGGTCCTTTTTATTTCGCCCTGAAAATTCGCTTCCACAAATTCAGTGGTTCAAATTCAACAGAAAATACTACGTTGACATCCAGGAACTGCAGGAAAAGCAGTAGATTGCCGAGCATATTCTCCATCTGCTGTTAGTCGGCTTCACCAGCAGGGGGTGCAAGCGCGTGTTGACAAGCACCAAAGCAACAGCTAGAGACGAGAGGCCTTCACAAAACTTAAATTGCTGAAATGGACAGAGCGGTGAGTACGAGTTATCATTTATATGTGTGTGGAAAAGGTTGATTAAGACACAAAACACACGAGCGTTTACTCAAGTGTCTTATGAGACTTATTTTTACCCCCGTGCAAAGTAAGGTGATCCACTGTTAAACTAAATTCTCTCGCCGTTGGCATTGATATTACGTTTTAGTAAAACAACTGTAACGTTAATAGACTGAGACAGAGTAAATTGTTTGTTTTAGTCACTATGACGGAGTATTAAAATTGATGGCTGGGTTTTACATGATGGCAAAGGCAATTTTATTTAAATATAGCATCATTAAATACAACCCAATTACAATTATAAATTAAATTCAGCAATTATAAATTAAAAATCACATCTCTCATATCTGTTAATCTCTGTGTTATAACCATAGACTGTAAAAAATGGTTATAACGTGAATTGTCTCCGCCATTATCCAGGGCTGTGTATCTCAAAAGCATCGTGAACAGCAGGTGAACGTAGAACCATTGGCACCAATAGTCTTTACGATCAACTTAAGTTAGCTCCGCAATGCTTTTAAGATATGCAGCTCTGGATCTGCATTAATAATTTGATATCTGTGATGACGTGATATATTGTTAAGCTACTTCTATCTTCAATCCATGTCGTGTTTGTTTCACAAGGGAGACAATGAAGTGCTGAGATCAGCAAGGCACCTTTTGTCACTTTTGACTCAAGAAAGACCTGATGGACCTTCAATGAGTCAGAGTATGAATAGGTAGGCTATAGCAATACTTTTTTTCAAGAATTTCAACTGAATGTCATTGTCAATACAAACCCGATTCCAAAAAAGTTGGAACACTGTACAAATTGTGAATAAAAACAGAATGCAATGTGGAATTTCAAATTTCAATGTTTTATTCCGAATACAACATAGATGACATATTAAATATTTAAACTGAGAAAATGTATTATTTTAATGGAAAAATAAGTTGATTTTAAATTTCATGGCATCAACATATTTCAAAAAAGTTGGGACAAGGCCATGTTTACCACTGTGTGGCATCCCCTCTTCTTTTTATAACAGTCTGCAAACGTCTGGGGACTGAGGAGACAAGTTGCTCAAGTTTAGGAATAGGAATGCTGTCCCATTTTTGTCTAATACAGGCTTCTAGCTGCTCAAATGTCTTAGGTCTTCTTTGTCGCATCTTCCTCTTTATGATCTGCCAAATGTTTTCTATGGGTGAAAGATCTGGACTGCAGGCTGGCCATTTCAGTACCTGGATCCTTCTACGTAGCCATGATATTGGAATTGATGCTGTATGTGGTATGCCATTGTCATGTTGGAAAATGCAAGGTCTTCCCTGAAAGAGACGACGACTGGATGGGAGCATGTTGTTCTAGAACTTGGATACCTTTCAGCATTGATGGTGCCTTTCCAGATGTGTGCCTTTCCATGCCATACGCACTCATGCAACCCCATACCATCAGAGATGCAGGCTTCTGAACTGAGCGCTGATAACAACTTGGGTTGTCCTTGTCCTCTTTAGTCCGGATGACATGGCGTCCCAGTTTTCCAAAAAGAACTTCAAATTTTGATTCGTCTGACCACAGAACAGTTTTCCACTTTGCCACAGTCCATTTTAAATGAGCCTTGGCCCAAAGAAAACACCTGCGCTTCTGGGTCCTGTTTAGATATGGCTTCTTTTTTGATCTATAGAGTTTTAGCCGGCAACGGCGAATGTCACGGTGGATTGTGTTCACCAACAATGTTTTCTGGAAGTATTCCTGAGCCCATGTTGTGATTTCCATTACAGTAGCATTCCTGTATGTGATGCAGTGCCGTCTAAGGGCCCGAAGATCACGAGCATCCAGTATGGTTTTCCGGCCTTGACCCTTACGCACAGAGATTGTTCCAGATTCTCCTAATCTTTGGATGATATTATGCACTGTAGATGATGATAACTTCAAACTCTTTGCAATTTTTCTCTGAGAAACTCCTTTCTGATATTGCTCCACTATTTCTCGCCGCAGCATTGGGGGAATTGGTGATCATCTTAACTTTTCCGGCCTCTTATTGCTACCTGTCCCAACTTTTTTGGAATGTATAGCTCTCATGAAATCCAAAATGAGCCAATATTTGGCATGACATTTCAAAATGTCTCACTTTCAACATTTGATATGTTATCTATATTCTATTGTGAATAAAATATAAGTTTATGGGATTTGTAAATTATTCCATTCCTTTTTTATTCACAATTTGTACAGCGTCCCAACTTGTTTGGAATCGGGTTTGTACATTATGAAACTTTATTAAACCATTTTTTGGTTTGTCAGATCAACTCATGTTAGAGTCCAACCTCAGGAGCCATCATCTTCTGTTCAAACAGAAATGACCAGGTCAGTAGAAACAAAAATTGCATTCCTGGTTATGAATTGTAGGTCTGTTCATCTACAATGTTCTGACCTACATTTTACAATGTTTACAACAGGTCCTTTCCTGGATTATTCTCAAATCGCAGAGGAAAACGACGCTTCACTGGAACATGTCCTGTGCCCATTAAACCAAAACCATTTCAGGTCATGTTCCACCTGCTGCCGGCTCAATGTGAGCGGACCCCTAGTGGCCCAGATCAACTGCTCCATACACAGGCAGGACGAGGACGCAGAACTGCCATTCTTGATGAAAACATGACTCATCAGGAGGTCAAGTATATGATGTAATGTGCCATTACACTTAATGTCAAAAAGAACCTGTTCATATTATTATCTTTGTGAATGGTCATAAAGAGCAGCGATAGCAGCTAGATTAACTAATCCTGTTTTCTTTAACAGTTATGCGATAAACTTACCGAATTATATCGCAAACTTGGTGGGGTAACTGGTGGTTGGCTCCTGTATAAAGCATCAGGTAATATTTACTGCTTAGTGTAACTGGTTGTTTAAGTATTAAACATATTGTTATTGATGACACTCACAAATCTGCTTTAGTTTATAATTAGGGAACAAAAAAATAAATAAATATATATATATACTGTTTGGTACAGATTTGGTTCAGCATAGGGGAGTAAAACACAAAATTACAATTTTTTTCTTATTTTTTATTAAACAGTGTTTTTTATGAACAAATTGTCTCTTTCTTTAAATAAATTTAACTTTTTTAAGCTGCAGTCTGTAACTTTAGGTGCTCTTGCAGTTAATAAACAGAACTGCATGCGTCTTGCAGAAGAACATTGTAGCGGGAGCTACTTCTCTGTTTATGTCTATGGCGAGTCACTCAGGTACTTGCCTGAGGTAAACGTAATGATTCATGAGATTTTTTTTTTCAATCTGTTTTAATGATGCCTTTCTGCATTTAAAACACTGACAGGTTAAAAAAATGTATTCTATGCATAGATCGTCTGTTCTAATTCTAGTTAGTAAACAGTATTGCATTACCACACACCCCCTTCAGGATTGTAGTGTGAATTATATTGTGACAGATTTAAGGAGTCTGTCAAAAACTTGTTTAAAAAAAAAAATAATTATTGTCATTTTTAGAATAATAAGCAACAAACTGAAACAACTAAATAGTCTTTATTCACATGCATAATAACAAAAAATACTTTTTGGTTGTTTCCAAAGACTTGCCTTTGTTGAAACTTGTGTGTGATCTATCTTTGAATCTTCTAAATCCCAAATTTGTTAAATAGGATTCAAATTTGGACTTTGACTTAGCCAACTGTGACTAAAGAGCTTACAGATACTGGTGAATTAACCCTTAGAGAAACATACAAATTATTTTGGTAATCACTAGTACTGTTAGTTTAGGGCAGCCGTGGCACAAACCTTACATTGGATGGTGGCGTAATAAATATGTTGAGCTATAGTATTAGTAATATATACTCAAATTTACATCTTATTGTTTACATATAATAAACACAATTTTGTTGTTTATACTTTCAGGGGGTTGGGGAAGTCGGAAGCTCACCCTAGTGGCACCTGCAGACTGTGGGTACACAGGCAGGCTTATTAAAGCGACAAAAATAGGGGAGAATTCTATTCTGTACATTGCTCCACTTCAAGATGAACTGGACACTGCTCCCTTGCCACCTTCATCAGACGCATTTCGCAATATGCCTAAGGCATTATGCAAAAAGTGCAACACATCGTTCCCCCTTCAGCTCCTTACAAATCACATCAAGACGTGTTCTGATGTTGTTTTGGTCGAAGATGAAAACGAAAGTCAGGATGTGGAAAGTGTGAAAAAGAACAATGAACAGGTAATTTCTCTCTGTACAATGCATGTCTTGCTAAATATATTTGGACCCAATGCGATCAAAAAAGGTCAATCGTAAACTGAAGTGGAAAAAAGTGCATTTTGTTTTTTTATTGGTATGAATTTTTTTGTGCTTTTGGTCTATATTGTAGGGTTGCTGTCCTATTTGTCAAGAGGAAATGCCTCTTGACATCTTGGAATTGCATGCCAGTGAATGTGGTGAAAGGTGTGCAAGTTGTAAAATATTAGTTTTGTGATAAACATAATATGATTTATAAAAGTACACTTTACCTCACACTAGAAACAGAATTTTAATAGTTTTTCCCCTTTCCTATATTGTAGACCAATGGATGATGAAACAAACACAGCGGAGTTGTCATGTATGGATAACGAAGTGAATGACACTGCTGAGTTTTCATGCATGGATAATGGTAATTAAACTGTTTCTCCTTTGGCTTTTTTTGCAGTGCTAAACAGAATAACATGAATGTTTGCTTAAATCATTCTATTGCTGACATTCTAAAGAAGTCTTCATTTTTTAGTCCATCTTGAATTTTTGGCAAACAAGTAAAGATGAAAAAATATTACACTTATGTTGATGTGCAACAGAGCTGTTTTGATTAATTATTATTATTTATTATATATTTTTTTTTACCAGATTGGAAGACCCATCTGGATCCAAAAATGGCTGCAACCTTGTACAAAAAGGAAATTCTCCAACTGCACGAGACAGGGAAACCTCTTTTTATGTTTATGTTCTTGAGATCATGTACTGAACAGGAGAGGCAACTGATCAACTTCTACAAGCAAAGAAATGTAGAGTGGGCATGTCCTGTAAAATGTCAACTTCAAGGTACAGCTGTAGAAGATGAACTATTTATGCAATAAATTATGCATCTCATATAGTGTATTCATTGTTGGCAGCTTTAATTACTGTATGTTCATTTTTTTAGGAGATGCTGCAGTTGGCGATGGAGTCACCAGGCACTTGTTTTCAACAGTTCTTGAAAAACTGAAGTATGGTTTCAGTTTGAACTTGGGTATGCAGTTTATTAGTTGCTCTGCAAAATGTACATTTTTAATAATTGTTTTGATGGGATTTACTTAATGCTGATATGTAATTAAATCAACAGGAAACACAGGAGTTACTTGCCTCTTTGAGGGAGAGCCAGACCACTTGGTTCCCTCATCATCACAATTCCTTATTGAAAGCGATCTCTTCCTAGTAGCAGGGAGAATGCTAGGCCATTCCTTTCTGCACGGTGGCCCGTGTCTTGCAGGGCTCAGCAGAGCCTTTGTTCATGTGCTCCTGCAAGGTTCTCAAGATACAACCACTTTGCAATTGGAGGACTGCCCAGATGTTGACATTAGAGGTCTTCACGGGTCCACTTGGATCCGAAAACCCGAGGTCCGACCCGAGACCCGAGCGGGTTTGGGTCCAAAACTCCGACGAGTGTCTCGGACACGGGTCGGGTTCGGTATTAGTGGCCTCGGGTCTCGGGTAATTTAAAATAAATATGCCTTTTCCAAATGGACCCGAGAAGACCCGAATTCTTTTAAACTATGTTGGGCATTTAAGAAAATTGCTGTATTTAAAACAACTCTATGACACCGTTCTCTCACTTTTTCTAAGTGAGAGAGTGAATCCGTGCTTCTACATGCACATGGGCTATAAGCATAAGCACGGTTGCCTCCGCATTTATTTACTCAGTCGCTCGCTCCACATAAACCAACCCCTCCCTTTGCCAAGAAGAACTAGTGCGCCATCATGTGGATGGATGTTTGACTAAATGCAAGTATTTGAATTGTCGTTTAGCCAGGCCTGTCAATCAATTTTAAAAATACGCGACACTGTCAGAAAAGCATGGAGGCGATAACAGAAATTGCGAAAAATGTCAGGGAAAACGAATGGTGGTTCTAATCATCGTATGGTCCGGTAAATAACATTATGCCAAATTTTATTGGACGTAATGGGTTACAGTGATGTGTGATTGACATTTTAGCACTTCAGCGCGCTTACACTTGCTCATTGTTCAGTAAGCTGCCATCGGGCAGGAGGCTCAGAAGCATCCAGACCAAGACCAACAGGTTCAGGGACAGCTTCTTTCCCATAGCCGTTAGACTAAATAACTCGTAATGCACTTCCTTCATTCTGCACTAAACATAGACTGTCTTTTATCACTGTCTTTTTATTTTACATTTGCTACTTAGCTAACTTGACTTTAGCATATTATTATTTACATATTATTTAGTTGCACAGTATTTATTTTACTGTTAGTATATTTATTTACCCATGTGGATGTGATAGGAGGTTTTTATCGGCAACGTTGGGGGGTGGGATCTAAGCATTTCATTACATAACTTGTTATTGTAATGACAAATAAACTACCTTGAACCTTGAACCTTGAACCTATGTTAAGTGCATTTTTGAGAAACGCAGGGCTGCAGGCTGTGCACAATGTAAATGCCGTTTACGTTCGGGTCCAGTCGGGTTCTAAAGGAAATGCCATCAGGTCGGGTCGGACTCGGGTCTAATTTTATCGGGTCTGTATCGGGTCGGGTTTTTCTTTAAAAAAAATAATTTATGCACGTCGGGTTCGGGTAAGTAGTGATTCGGGTCGATTCGGGTCGGGTACAGTTTTTAGGACCCGAGAAGACCTCTAGTTGACATACGAGAGACCATCAACTTGGTAAGTGTGTGTATTTATTTATATATATATATATATATATACACACACACACGCACACACACAAAAAAAGTGCAAGTGTGTGTATATATATATATAAAATATGCTTCATTTTATTTTTTTTAGCTCAGTGGGCCATTGAATGAGGACCAGTATAGTAAAGTCTTGGAACTTTGTTTGTCCTGGGATCTTCCTGGTCCAACAGAAGAAAATACAAGGTGGCTTTATGAACGTCTGCTGTCACATGCGGTAATTACAATTTGTAGTTATTGTTTTTGAGAATGGAAAGTGCCCTTATTTCTATACATATCAATTATATTATGAAACTAATTACCTGAATACTTATTATTGATGCATTTTTTATCATGTGTTTCTAATGACATTCTAATGGTTACACAAGTATAAGAATAGTTTTTTACTCATTTACTGTTTAGATTGCATTCATGATCTTTCACACAGAGCTACTAACGAATGTTATGTGATATCCTGATTCTTTTTAATTTATGGCTGTTTCATTTTACTGTAAACTTCTTTGAGGCGGTAGATCATAACTTTGCCCTTCTGTGATTTTATTAGATTTTCAGTCGCCAGTTGTTATTTTATGTTCTTTGTATAAGGATGTAAAATTATAAGAATTTATTTTAAGAATAACAGCAGGACACCAATAACATACTCTGGTGTGGATTTAAAAAAAAAAAAATTTAAATGAAAGACCTTTAGGTACTTTAAAATTTGGATATAACACATTTTTTCCATTTATTTGTATTTTGTAGGTTCTTGGGAGAAGAACACGCCAAGTCAAACAAATCAGGCGAGGACTGAAAGACACTTTTGTTTGGGCTCTTCTAACTGAGAGGAAGGATGTGGTATTCTTCCCCAAAGAATCAGAGGACTCATGCACTCCAGAGGTAAGGCTTCCTTCTCGTTAAGAGGACTACAAATGGACTTTTCACTTAAGCAATGTCAGTAGCTATTTTCTTGGGAAACATATCATTCTGTTACTTGTTTAGATGCTGCTTTCCCATATCTCCTGGCCTAAAGAGAGTGATGACGAAGATGACGACGAATACTCAGTTGATAACATTGAGACGGGTATGTGCCTCAGAGTTTGAAGAGTACAGCAGTATCTTAGATTTTTTTTTTTTTTTTTAACAGCAGTTGAATTCTATGTGTACTGTAAGAACCTATTACTGGAGATTCATGTTTGATTTTCTAATGTGAATTTTTGTGCTTTCCAGTCTTTTCATGGTTGAAGTGTTCAAGGTAGTTTGATATAATGCACTGCATATATATATATATATATATATATATATATATATAATAACTATGAGATAACATGCTTGTTAATATTTTTAAAAACTTATTAAAGATTACATAATGATTAACAGATCATTAGTTAACATTGAAGGTATAGTTAACCCAAAAATGAAAATTCTGTCTCATTACTCGAATAATAATTACTCATCCTCATGTCTTTCCAAACCTGTAAAACTGTCATTCCACTTCGGAACACAAATGAAAATCTTTGTGATGAAATCTAAGCAATTTCTGTCTCTCATCTGATAGGCAACTACCACTTTTGATGCTTCAAAAAGTTCATAAAGAAATCGTAAATCTAATCCATATGAATTGAGCGGTTTAGTCCAAATTTTCTAAAGAGACACGATCGCTTTATATGATGAACAGATTTAAATCATGGTGAACTATCCCTTTAACAAGCACATTATCTCATATTTCTAGCTATGTGAATATTAACTAATTATCTGATCATTATATAATGTTTGTTAATGATTTATTAAAGTTATTATAAAGTGTTACCCCATTTTTTGTGTCCTGTTTAAAACTTAAATCTTAGGACCCCCTGAAATTATATTATATGGATCTAAACACCAATATACTTTACATAACAGTTTGAGATTCTGTAAGACTGAGTAAACAATAAGATAATTATATTTTTAGGGTGAACTGTTATTATAATTTCTGTGTTTTTTGCAGCATCCAGCAAGGACTTAAAAAGCCTTCTGAAGTTCTGGGTCGGATGGGAGCAGATGGAGAAAAATATGGCTGTGGAAATTGTAAAAAGTGATCTCCCAAAATCCTCTACTTGCTTTTGTGTTCTCCGGCTCCCAGGGCACTACAGCGATTTTCAGTTCTTCACAAATGATTTGATGATGTGCATTGGCACTTGCAAGTATGGTTTTGGCCATGTGTAATTTTTAGACATTTACAGTATATGTTACACACTGATATACACTTTAATTAGATACTGTTATTATTACACTTAGGTCCAATACTTTAAAATCCAGTTGTGCTTTACATAATGCATGTTGTTCATGCCGTTATATTTTTGATACTATCCTATAAGACATAGTACATTCCATGTTTAAGTAACGGGTTAATGTTATGTACAAGCAGTCACTTACATTGTAAGCTTATACTGTTCCACAATGGATTTTTCATGCATGGGCTCATGCAGTGGTTTTAGTAATGTTGAATGTCTATTGTTCCAAAGCTTGTCAGAATCTGCAGAATATTGTGAAGTACTTTAATCTTTTGAAGTATTTGTAATTGGAAATGTATGCATAATGTATATTATGTACATATATGTACATGTTCAGTGGGATCAGAAATATTAAATGTAAGCAGTAGTTAATTCTTGAATAAAGTTTTTCCCCCCATAATCCACTGTACTAATCACTAAGTGAAGGAAGTGTCAAATCATAGGAAAAGTACAAATTACACAGACAGCAATTCTTGTTTTTATTCATATATGTTAAGCAGGTATCGTTGATTAAAATTATGAATTATAATTGATAGTGACAGAAGACATCACAATTATTCCATAAGAACTGATTGGCAAAAATGGAGTGCAGCTAGATAGATGTCCCAGCCAAAAGCCTGTGAAGGTCCTTTTTTGGTCTACAGTTTCTTTGAGTGCTTCCACTTGCTTATCAGTCAGGGGGCATTCGGTTTGAGGCACAACAATACTGGAAAGTGTATCAACACTCAGTCCACTACTCTCCCAGTCTATGTGTGGTATGCTTAATCCCTAAAAACAGCAATATAGAGCATTTACTATCATAAATAAGATCCAACTTACAGTTCTGGGTTCTCATTAATAACCACTGCGTATGGACAAAACAGGCCCTGAAACGGCTCGTAAGCCACTATCGACGCACAAGTTGTGATTTATTTAAAAAAGCTTGACGGGAGAATGTGCAACTAAGTAACACTGATCCTGCGTACGAACATATTGGAGACGGAGCAGTTTGGCGACACCGACGGGACCATGTTTCGGATGAAGGAAAAACACTTCAAATCTTCATTATGAGTACTAATCATAAATTCAATGCATGCTCACAATAACAGTTAAAAATAAATAGACTGATTTAAACTCTGTTTTACATCTGATATACACATTTAGATTAAATGTGCCACTCATTAATGGAGTTATAATTTTAATTCATATAATTTTTTGTAGCGGATGCAATGCGTTTGAACACTTTCCTTTGGCATGCTGAGTTTAAATGTTTTAACTACAGTTTAGTGCACGATAATAGCAGAACTCGTGGTCTGAGAAAATATGTTTGTGCAAATAATGATAAATAGTGCACAATAAGGCCTATCTGTTTCTGTTTAAAATATAAAGCAATTAAAAATACTATTTGGACAGTGGAGAAGATTGAGAAAAAACTTTTTGATTTATTCAAAAACAAGGCATCTGTATCTCATATTTTCCTAATGTCCTGTACTGTTAAACTTGGGATCATGTGGATAAATTAAATATGCATATGCGAATGATATGCAGATGAGGATATGCATAGTAAAACGAGGCATTGAAAGTTACAAGTATGGTTATTTCAGGCAGGAGACGCATTTACACATGACTGGGTTTATAAAGGGAATTTTGCGCAGATTCTGGCTTACGGGCGCACATACACTTTTAGTAAGGTCCTTTACACAGCTTTATAAATGAGGCCCCTGAACAGAGAATAAACTGCTTCAAACATAAAAATGTTTATTCAATGTCTGAAAAGAAATACATCAATTAAATATAAGAATTTCAGACAGGTATTATGCACAAGTTGATAATTAATTAAAAAATTAAATATATTTTCAACAAAACCTCAATTCAAAGTACATTATTTGAAAATTACAACTCACCGCTGATTGTGCACGCTCTTTCCTGAAATAAAGCTGCCCCTTTCTGTCCCACGAACTGTGAACATCAGACGAGCCACGTCCACATTTTCGACGCCCTGATCTCCTCGTACCCTAAGAACAGGGGTGTTTTAGCACAGCGACTGGAACACATTTCTCAAAAAATGTTACTTACTCAATGTAAAATTCAGACAGTAAATGTACGGAGTAAAAAAAAAAATCATCAGATGTAAACTTGGTCTAAAATTCATTCATTCATACTTACGGGAGCTTCTGTGGTCACTGGCCAGGTAAATACACAGACTGCAATGCATTATAATATATTTTGATTAGTGTGTGCCTTAAGTAAGCCGGGGGAATTCTGGGGTATGACATAAGAGAGGGCAACACCAGTATTGTAGCAGCATTACTACTTACTTGTAGTGGACACATGGAAATTTAAGGAAACAAACGCTCTCACAAATATAGTTATACCCCTTGGGATGGAAAAAAAATGCTGTTTACATGTAATAAATTATGTTAGGTTATATTATACGTTACAATAAGCGCAAACGTTTCTCATCGTGTTTTAATATAGAAAGGCTGATAAAAAGTGTTGATGTAAATCATTTCATTCACTTAACTTGAAAAAAAACCTTAACTGAACTAAATAAACATGACAAGATTTGGCATCCAATTCTTACTGACTTGTCTCCTACCTGAGAGGGAAGCCAAATGTCTCGACCGCTTCTTGGAAAAAATCCAAGGTAGTAGCAGCAAGGTTATTAGATGAAGCACCAAGGTACATTATCTGTCAAAAAAAAAATGTGTCATGTCGTGATATGTCAATATAGATTAAAAAAAAGTAGTTAGGAGTGGCCTCTACCTTGCGTGAAAAGCCATCCACCCCCCCAAAGATGACTATATTGTATCTGAAAGAAGAATATTCATGCAAATGTTTTAAAAAGCCCACATCTATCTATCATAAGGTCTGCAACATGCAATATCTGAGTGAACAAGCCTGACAAACCAAACTTACCGAATCAATTTATGGTTGGTGTCAATGTGCATTATTGACCTAGGACCTGAAACTGAATATGTCCTTCGTACTACGCAGCCCAATTGTGCCATTCGGGACATGACTCCCACTGTATCAACCCGGTGCATTGCTGCCCTGACTCGGTCAAACTGCACTTGGTGTCCTCGCGCTTTTAAAGCTGCTCTCATCATTCTGTATCCACAGTGAGGCATGTGTTGCTTTACATCTGTCACACACTCATCTAACTCTTCATCCGAGAGACTGCTATATCTTGCCCGAATGGAGAGGTTACATTCAGCCATTCGTCTAAATATTGTGCTCCTGCTTACTCCAATCATGCGAGCAATGGTTGAAACAGAACAGTTAATGTCCTGGAGATTGGTGATATAGTCCGGTGAGATTACAAGACGTGGCCTTCCCATCGATCCTGACTGGTGCAGAATAGTCGGAGTGCGCGTCTCAACGTCTGACAAGTTTAGTCGAATTAGTCTTAGCAGTTCTGTGATGCCCTCGAAAACATCACGTGGGATGGTAACTAAATTGGACACAGCACTTAAAAAGACCAACTCTTGCGAGCAGATAAACTCCAGGTAGTCCATGTCAAGGGGCAGTCGTCCAACAGCATTTTCCAAGCGTGAACGGAGTCTTTCCAAAACATAATCCAAAAGCAATTGCTAAAGGGAAATATATAATATGGCATGTTAAGTACCACGGTCTTGCCGGCCAGATGAATGAAACAAAAGTAAAATGACATCCAACAACAAACAAACTCACCGCTCTGTCCATTTCAGCAATTTAAGTTTTGTGAAGGCCTCTCGTCTCTAGCTGTTGCTTTGGTGCTTGTCAACACGCGCTTGCACCCCCTGCTGGTGAAGCCGACTAACAGCAGATGGAGAATATGCTCGGCAATCTA